TACGCCAGTTTCGCAGACACGAAACGTTTGAAATAAATTTGCTGTTGTGATATAACGTTTGATAAAATAATTCGTGTAGAGTATAATATTTAGTTAGTTTTTTATATTTATGCCACAGTCTGAGAAATGTTTCTTTGCATCATAACATTAAATTTCTATTTAGTTACCGTATTGTATAATTATGTCATTATTATTATTATTATTATTCTATTATTCTATTATTGCACTATATCATTATTATTATTATTTTTCTATTATTCTATATTCTATTATATTATTATTCTATATTCTATATCATTATTATTATTATTTTATTATCATTATTATTATTATTATTCTATTATATTCATATAGTCATTATTATTATTATTATTCTATTATTCCATATTCTATATCATTATTATTATTATTATTATTCTATTATTCTATATTCTATATCATTATTATTATTATTATTCCATTATTCTATATTCTATATCATTATTATTATTATTTTATTATTCTATATTCTATTATTGCATTATATCAAAATGTTTCTTTATACCATAACTGAAGTCTGAAATATCCCACATAAATTTCTTCTTCCTTTTTCTTATTATTATGATTTCTATTATATTTATATGACATTTATTTTATTTATAGGATTCAATCATTTGTATGGTCATTAATATTTAATATATTTCACTTGTTAAAGTGAAATGAATACATTTTACAATATTTGTATATTAAGCAATGTTCGATACATATGAAATTAATTAAACTGTGATATGAAATCAAGGATTAGAATGTAGAAAAATTATCATATACGTTATTTATTCATTATAAATCTAGGGAGATAGATAGAAGCTATAGTCGTCGTTGTTATAATTTTCATTATTACTGTGCAGGTTGATTATTTCACTTCGTGAATTACTTTTCATATTGCTTCATATATAAATGAAAAGAAATATAAATTTAGTGAAACGTATCTCCTCGCAATCGCGTATCAAATTATATAAATATCCACGATCTAATTAATTCTGGAAATATCTTTCAGAAACTTTTTATAATTATTACTCGAGATAAGTTTCTTTGAAAAGTCACGTCGGTGGGTGGTAAGCCTCGTTTGCTTCGTCCTATGGTAATTTCAATTAGCTAAAAAAAGTATATTGAAGTCCACGCTGGTGGCCGAGGCCGTTTTACCGATTTGCCGATTCGGTCACTAGGTTTTCTGCTCGTATGTCTCCCGGTAATCCACCGAAAGGGACGTCCGAACATCGACCAGGGCTACGTATCTAAAAACTTCGAACTCTGAATCAGCCTGATGTCACTCTGGTAAAATTACTTCCGAACTTCCGAGAAGGTTGCATAAATTAGAGGTAAAATTCGCAAGATAAAATAAATCTGCTTAAGGACGTGATGAACGTCCCGCATCGATATTTATTCATTTGTGTTAATATTTCAATATTTGCTCGTGGTTTCGTCTAGCCTCAGCGCGATTATGTACACTTGTTGCAAGAAACTTTTATGTTATAATTGTTACTCAACTGGTTTCTATTCAATTATTTTTCTATCCAACAATTTATTGAAATAAAATTATTTATTGTTTAATGAAAAAGTAAATTTGTTTTTTATCAAATTAATAAATTTATTGTTTAATAATATATTAAGAAATTGAAACGGTGCAGTTTCAATGAATGCACGTGCTGTTTTAAAAAGTGTGTAAGACAAATGTGATACATTATTGATATTTTAAAAAATCGTCAATGTAACATCAAATATATATATATTTTTTTTTCTTTTATATTTTATATAAATATATTTTTTTTAAACAAAAATGTGGATAACAATTTAGTTTCCATATGTTGCGAGATAGAAGCTATCAAGTTTCAATATCTCTCGCGATGAAACGAGAGAAAGAGAGAAATATTTTCAGCGAAAGTTATTCGACTCGTTTTTGTGAACGGAACAATTTTTCTACAAATAAAGTTACTTCCATGGGATCTCTGGCTTTCTACGATGTACACACTTTATTCCAAATGATTGTGGTATTGGTTTGAAAGATATATTTTGCACTGTACGGAAATGAATGAAATGTGACATGTGATTAGAAACGAGAATGATAAAGATAAATATTGAGAATAATAATAATAATAATAATATATAAAATAAATGAACAAAGAAAGGAAAAAATAAATTATTAGTAAAGTAAATTATTAGTATTGTAAAACAATTTTCACATAAATGAAATTTTTAGCATTATAATGTTATGGCCTTGGTGTTGCATAGATTACTATGACTCAATACTAGAAACAAACTTTCCTCGTTGAGAATATTAAAAATGTCAAGTAGATCAATATCGTTCTCAAGCCGTGGAGAAACAATGAGAATTTCACATTTCGAGTTACCCTTGACAATTAAAAGGACACGAATTTCCACGAACGTTTGAAACAGAATATATTCTCGAACAGTAGAAAATTATGTGGAAACACGAGTTTCCATGAAACAGTTCGTTCAAAAACAAATTCCATAGAAACAAAAAAAAAAAAAAAAAAAATAAATAAATAAAAGAGAATTTCACGCTCGAGTCGACTCCGTGTAAAAATTTACGAATTTATAAAAAAAATACGAGGCTACTTTATAACCTGAAACATGAAACTCATTCGAGGATCCCGCGTTTTTTTGCTGCTCCCCCGAGAATTGCAACGCCTCGCGCGAAAACAGAGAGAAAAAAACATCTCTCCATTAAGGGTAAGAGCTCGGGCGTTTCAGCCAGATTCAGTGTTCTCACGAACTTCATGCGACTTTTTGCCTCGTTCGTTACATCGAGCGCAACGAGTATGTAGTTCTTGCCGTTCTGTCAAACGCAAGATTATCCCTAGTTTTTCGCTCGGTGTCGTTTGGAACGTCCGTGTTTCACTGAACTGCCGCGGAGAGACGCTGTGTGCCGTTTCCGCCACGTGACTCCCCCCACCATCCGGATTGGTCGTCAGGGGAGGGGGAAAGCTTGCTTCACGCGCGTGCAGATCTCTCCTTATTTTTGTCCCGATGAACGCATTCGGGGATTTTATGCCGCCACGTGTTGAACAGTCTCGTTTCGAATAAAAATATTTCGGGTGAATTTGAAATCTATCAAACTGGGGACGGGCGTATCGTATTGCTTGTTACAGTGACATTGAACGTTTGACATTATATATATATATATATATAAACGTACGAAATGTACGTGTGCATATTTTGTGTGTGTTTACACGTTTGTAAAATTTTCAGATTGTTGGCTGTTTTTTTTTTTTTTTTTTTAAATTTCTAGCGATCACGAATGATTATTGCATACTGGGTTTGTGTTCCCGACGAGTTATAATATTTCGAATACATAATTTATTAATATTGTAACTGTTAATATATTATTAATTTATTAATATTGTAATACAATTTATTAATATTGTAACTGTTAATATATTATTAATTTATTAATATTGTAATACAATTTATTAATACTGTAACTGTTAATATATTATTAATTTATTAATATTGTAACTGTTAATATATTATTAATTTATTAATATTGTAACTGTTAATNGTTGTCTCTTCTTTTTTCTTTTTTTTTTCCTTTTTTTTTTTGTTTCTCAAGATTATCATCCCTTGAAAACGATGATAGGTCGCGGACTAGCCTGAAATGAAATATGCGGAGCAATGCAATTGACGTTCACCGCCGCAAACTGTGTGCAACGACGCGACACTGAAATGCGGCCAATCGACGGTCTGACGTTGAAAAGAGACCAGGGCGGAGAGGGAGAAAGAGCCGCAGACAAAGAGAGCACAGGGGTGTAACAGGGACAATTGCCAGGAGAAAGAAGAGAAATGACTGGGCAGAATAAAAAGAGGCGCCTCGAGAATGTGGGAAGACAGAAAGAAAAAAAGGAAATTTTTCAAGAGATTCGCTCGAGAAAAATATTTAAATATCAATATATACATGTCTGCGTTGTTGCATAATTAATTATGATTTTAACCATCTTATCTGATAGTCAAAGTTTGTCTACAAACTGGGAAATGAAAATTAAAATAAAATGAAATTCATAAAATACCGATGCGATTGTAATTTAAGAACCGGTTTGATTACATGCATAGTATAATATCAACATCAATACTTAGAAACCAATTATCTTTCACGTAGCTGTGACTTGGAAATCACAATTACTGAATTCTGCAGTAAACTACAATACAAAAGCCAATTGTCTACAGACTGTTACAACTTGGAGTCCGCTGGATGCTGTAACTATATAAATTGATCATTATCTAAACGCTAATTGTCTTACAACACTGAATCTAATGTTCTATCTTGAAGTAACATTATCGTATACCATTCGACATCAAACAAAAGACCCCAATTGAACCAACAGTACCTAATCCACGGAGAACCTGTTCTTATCCTGACCAGCCACCTAAATTAGCCCAGCGAGGAGGTAATAGAGGAGAAAAAAAAAAAAAGCAAAAGGGAGGGAACAGAGGACATACAGGGGGAGAGGACTTCCGAGTCCCCTTTGCTGGTTGGCACTTACTGGTGGTGCCCTGAAGTCGTCCCACTGGCAGCCACGTGCCGAAGCGTGCCAACCTTTTGTCACAAACCTCGGTCTCTCCTTCGATCCAACGGGGGGAGGATCGTCGAGATTCAACGTGCTAGGACACGTGTACCAAATAGGCTTGGTGACCCAAAGCCTGTTTGCCCCGACCAAGGACCACCGGTAGTGACGGTCCGTGGCAGAATGAAGCGTGCGGTTCTTGAGCTGCTCTCCATTGGGAGGATCAAAGGCACCGGGAAAATTAAATGGTTAACACGTTTCGACTCCGTGCTATCTTTCATCTCCTTTCTTCTTTCTTGCATCTTAAACAACTGTGTGCATTAAGCTTGATCAGTGACACATTGATTAATTTCACATCTAATCTAATTTACAATTTAAGGTGGTGGATCTTTCTGATCTTTAAATTTACTCAAGCCACGACGACTCAAGTTACCTCAATAATTACATTTCTGTCCCGAGTGTGACTCTTCCCAAACTATGGTTTCACATTGATTCTCGTGCAATTTGTAATCTTCGATTCTCCGCTTTATAATCCTTGGATCCTTCTCTCTCCGCTTGTTGTCAAATCAATCTTAACGGGCAATCCCTCCGCCTCTCCGGCCTGAAAAAGTCATCGTCGGGCGCGTTGAAACATCCTTGAAACAGAACCACGAAGAATTGACTATGATCCCGCAGTATCGAAGCTCTGTCGTTGCTTTTTCCACCTCTGGTGAAATTCACCAATCCGCGCGATGGTCCGCACGCGTTGAAGCTGTCGAGCGGAAACGTCGATTTCTCGGCGCCGGTTATCGGCGTTCACCTTCGGCGATGGAGGGCCCCCGTTGATTGGCATAAAAGGTATCCGTTCGTCGCGACAGAGCGTTGCGAAAAATGGAAGAGCCTCGGTTTCGGTGTCAGTGAAGACAGAATATGAAAGACGGTGTCGAGGAGGCACGAACACGGCCTGAACGCAGAGACGGACGTCCGTTCGATTCAATTTAGCTCGGCTGCGTGCAGATGAAAAAAAGAGGCGGCGTCAGTTTCGTTGAAGAGCCGACGAGGAAAATTCTGACCGTTATATCGATTCCCTTATTAATTCCTTGCTGGTTTTGTAAGGTAATCACTTGCCAATACTGAGCTAATTAGTATTGGATAGAATACTTGAATTGGGTATTAAATAAATTAAATATATTGTATTAATAAAATGAAGATTAATATTAGGGTGATTCTGAAGTATATATATATATATACCTGTATATATGTAGATGAGACTTGCATAATCAAAAAATTGTATTCTACTTTTCTTTTATCTTCTCGTGAAGACATACTCTATATATTCGTATATAAACTGAAAATAACAAGAATTGCAGATATGACAATATATTGACAATCTGAACAAAGTAAGTAATTTACTTAAATTATTAAATTAACAGAGCAGTAATTTACTTAAATTATACTTGCTAGTAAATATATACTTATACATTTATTAATACTTATGTCTAGTAATTCAAGTAGTGTTTTTAATATATTAACTGTGTTTAATATTTACTAAAAATATATTTAATATATATTATATATATCATCTATCCAAATTCACTTTACATTTCTTCTTTAAATTACATTTTCTTCCACAGACCCTTGCACTTGCCCAATCTTAATCACTTATACCAGCTGTACAAGCTAAATTAAAAGCTGAATTTAAATTAGCCCTTCTGTGTCATTTTTAATTACAAGTTCCTTCTTAGTAATTTCTCTCTAACAACTTTCTGATTAAAAATCCTTGAATTTTAAGCAATTATGAAGAAATAATTTTAAGCAATGAAGAAATTTCCAGGAAACACTCTATTGATAACTTTCTTCACACATTCTCAACCATTTTAAGGAACTCTTTCTGCCGAAAAAAAAGGAAAGTAAAGAAAGTAAAGAGCATGAAAAAAAAAAAGGAGACTATAATGGTAGTGGGAGCGTTACGGAAAATTGGCCGTGCAAATGCTGCTTAACGTTGTCGATATAAACATACACATCGGAATTAATGATACACCGTTTAGTTACGCGTCAGTTGATTTTCCCAGGGCACCGCTTTTGTGCCTAATAGCAGACCGGGGGAAGCGGCCCATGGGGCACCGTGACCCGCCCGCCTCGGCGCGCTCTTCAATATGTCACTGTGGCTAATTTTAGGGGCACACTGTCGACCACCGGCGACAAAGTCGATTCCTTTCAGCAAGTTCACGTCCTGTGACCGATTTTCAGCCGATTTGTTTGCCTCGTTGAACCTCTTGAGAATTTTATCTTCATTTTGGATGATATGTCTGTCTTGGAATGATGATGACAGAGATTGATGCATTTGATTGTTGAAAAAATTTGTTTGGAGGTACAGAACATTATAGTAAGTAAATTTTATCACCGTTGAGGAGAATTAATTTAAATATTACATTAGCAATCAAATCTTCAGAAGTTAATAATGAAAACTCTGTTGTAGATGAACATTAAAATATACTATTGGTTAATAATTTGACATTATTAGTACAGATATTAAAAATTTGAGATTTTTAAAGATCTTGCTGTAAAATTCCTGCAAAGTTATTCTTTAAACGTATTCATAACATAATTTAGTAGATACTATTTTAAGTTCAGATTTATCGTTTCATTTTCTTTCTATGTCCTGTCCTGACTAAAAAAAAAAATGAAAATTGCATTATACAAAATGAGTGAGTCAGGTTCAACTCGAAATCACATCGAAAACAATCATCTTCATGATGACAATGGATTATCAAATAACGATGAAGCACGTCCAGATGTAAACGAGTCAATATGTTACATAATTGTCAGACCAGTTAATTACCTCACTCCAGGCTGTATCGTTCCGATCTTGTCTCCCTGGCGAGATAATAAATGACAAAAGATGATATCGATTTTCAGAATTAAAACACCGCTGCTGGTCCAGAGCATATCCGCGGACACAATGAAAACAATGGAAAGGGAGTATTTAATTCAGCAATTCCTATGTTTTTCCAATTTGGTTCTATCGCGATATTTTTATTTCATATTTCACGAGTATGATATTCTCTCTGTAATTTTTATTGCTTATTTTTATTTCAGTCATTTTATTTATTGCCTGTTTACCTTTATTTTTCATGACCTCTCTGAAAATATTGAATTGAAATACAATACTCTACCGTTCCCTTTTTTTCTTTTTTTTATAAACCATCTCATGGAACATTTAAAATTTTTAATTTCTGTTATTTTTCTTCCACCACATTTCGTCACAATAAGTGCAGGCTTCCCAAAATTCATTAAATTACAACCTACAGCAGCAGACATACTTATTGTATTAAAAATTATTTTACATTTGTTCCTGAATTTTCAGTTTAAATATTAAGAAACTTAGCTCTCTAAAAAAAAAAAGAAAACTCTTCTCACTGTTGTGTTCATTGCCATCAAGTATAGCTCTCAAATCTCTTCTAAATTATATAAAAAAAAATTCCTCCATCCCAACGCTAGTGCTGGAGCGAAAACTAGGAAAAATGATTCGCACGTTTCCGGGAACGTGAACTGGCGACAACAGGATCGATATCCAGCCGAGAGATCCCATCGATCGAGGAGGCAATTAATTACGGAAGATGATCGGTAATTAACAGTAACTGGAGCCGGATAACGTTCATACGGCACGCTGATATGGAATATACGACGCGCCACGGCTGTGGTTGACTCTTTATGGTGGGGTGTGCTTGTGACGTGAATTATTAGCCCTTCGGCCCTCGAGACAGCCTCCGGGGGTAGGTTCGCGAACGGGCGTGGCCTAGCCGGCAGGCGTGGCCCCAACGCCACCCTCGAAAAACCACCAGCTACCCTCTCTCGTGCATCGGGATACACGAACCGAATTGATTCCGTACAGATTTTCTCCTTCTTACTGGGTTCTCCTTTCTTCTTTCTGGATGAAGATCTGACTGTCTTTCGTCAAATTGACGGTCGCTTCGCGCCCTGCAAAAAGGCATAAATTAGATTGGATAGGGGGATTTGATTTTGATTTAATTGATAATTTGTTTAATTTTTGGAAATGACAGATTAAAGTGAGAAAGTATGGATTGGGAAATATTGAATTTAAAGAGTGCCTTAAGCGTTAAATTATCGTTAGGAGAGGAAGATTGAAGCTCTAGGATATCTGGGATAGTAATACAACAAAAATTAGAAAAGAAATGGCAAATATTGAATGTAAAGGATATTTCAGTTACATCTAATTGAAGTTGACAATTTTCCTCAAAAAATGGACTTACGTCTGAAACTTTTGCAAATGTATGAATGTTTTCAGAGGAAATAATAAAATTATAAAATGATGTCAATGAAATTACTCGCGAAACAATTTTTGAAACAAAAAAGCTACTAAATTCCTGTAGAAATGAACCTTCCATTCCCTTAATCATCAAAAATTTCACACAACTCAACTGATCATTGATTTCCAAATCCATCAGGCAACAATCTCACCCCTCCTAAGGCTTCCTAAACATTCCAAAAGCCGCAGACAACAGCCTCTTCTAGTAGAAGAGACCGCGATTCCCGTGTTCGACGAAATCATAGCGGAAGTTCCACTGGTTCTTCGGTGGTTTCCAGCATCTTCCCCCCGAGACGAGCAAGTCGTACAAGCGGCAGAAGAGCGACGGGAGGCTGGAGGAGGGAAACAGACGCAGAAAGGGACGGGACGTAGCGTTGGAAGGGAGGAGAAGCTTCGCCATCCTCCCAAAGCTCTGTGCCAGCGTTTGTACAGTGGTAATGGGCTGTCAGAAGCAGACGTTCGCTGCTCGTGCCTTATATACCAACACCATTACGCTGCTCTTGGGTCGGTTCCTATCGGCTTGCTCGTATTATCAACCCCTCTGATTGCGTTCGCCTCGTCTCTCCCTTCTGTACCGTTCCTTCATGGCTCACCCTCTTCGACCGCCTTCTTCGATAACGTCTTTTCATTGCTACCATAGCCAGCCAACTCTGGGTACAAATGTCCGGGTTTAGAGAAAAATTCAGGGATCAAGGAATACCTGAAAAGGTGATGTTTGTTAATTGGTTGCTTGGTAAATGAAAATATGAGAAGTGAACGATATCCAGCAGTTTTTTTCTTTTTGTTGCTCTCTTTTATTGTGATTTTTTCCAAGTTTCTTGGAAATCTGCTTTCTTCCCCTTCTTCTTGTAAGTAAGAATCAACGCTATTAATTTTCCATTCTCTCATATTAGTATCTTCTATTGTTAATAGAACAAATCTTCCATTTTGTAATTACTATTCAATCTTTCATCTTGAAAATCATTTCCAAGTAACGGAATAAACTGAGTAACACGTAAATTCAAATTATGTTCCATTAGATTCTATTCTTAAATTCATTTCCTACTACAAATGTATTAAATATTACATTTATAGTAGAAAATAGTACATATATTTCTATCTGCTATTACTTTGTCGATATTGATCAATGTAACTTTTACCCAATTGTAACCAAAATTTTGTAAATTCAATTTCAACTGAATTCAATTATTCGAGGATAGAATTATCGTCCACCATATAAAAAAAAAAATACACGACTTGCTATCATAAGTACATTTGTCGTGAAAGTCATACAAATGATGGTGAAAAATCTGATTCTGAAAGAATAACATTCGCGAGTGTGGCCGCTTTTTCTACTCTTTGTTTCGCGCAGCTGTCTTGTGTTATGCTGCGTTATTTTCCCGGATCTGTTTGGATGTGAGAGGAGTGAAAATCCTCACTCGGAAGTTCGACTGGTGCCACGTGTTTATCGACCATCCCCCGACGTGCCTTTCCCTCCCGCAGTGATCAATACTGCGAGAGGTCTTCTGCACAGGACAGGCAGGTTGCTGGTCCAGATTTCAGCATGGGAGGCAACACGTATAAAAAAGGCGTAGCTTCGTCGATGCAAGTTCGCCGATCTCGGTGCCCTTGAAAATTTTCCACCCTCTGTCCATTTCTTATTGTCGATCAATTCTTTTCTCGAATCTTCGATAAATCTTTCTCGATTTGTCTTTCCTCTTTTGCTACATCTTCAAAAAAAAAAAGAAAAAAAAATGAATCATACAATATTCGAATCATGGAAGAGAAGGTTATCAATTGTTGCAACAGAGATGAAAGATCATTAGAATTTTTCATTAATTTTGTATTACGTACTTGTGCAATATATACCTTCATTTTTAAAACCATTTTAATTTTCTGTTTCTAAAAATTGAATCTCAAACACGTTTTAGTAGCAGTTTTTCTTTTTTTTTTTTCGTATGTCACTCAAAAATCGACAAATCTAACGAAATAATTTGAATATTGATGTACTGAAATTAAGCACTAATTACCTCTGTGTAAGTGATGTCATTATACATGCAATCAGCGCCATCTAATAACAGTTATCGAAACTGTTTTGCACGCTCTCGGACTGGCGGAAACTTTTAAACTCGGAATACGTATCACTCGTTTCAATGACCATATTGTAGAAAATTTTATTTCTTAAATGCATTTACAATGCATTAACTGACACCTCAACTAATCGTAATTTTGCGATACACATTTTTAATTTTCGCAGATTTAAAATAATGGATCACGAATTATGCACTGTCGAGATGAAGAGTCGATATTTTTGATGCAGGTGGTAAAACTGCATCGGTAGTGTAGTTGTATTGTTTTTGTTTTTAATCGCAATATTACATTTGGTGTTTTTTTCTTTTCGTAATTTGCGATTTCTTTTACGCATTAATCAAACGTTTGTAATTTAATAAACGAACGTATACTTTTCTGCTTGATTATCTGCTCCGTTGTTATCAATTCTTTAAATGATTTTTACCAACTTCGACAAATATAACCTAAAATTTTGTCAAGCCTCAGTGACATAACCTATTAAAAAGATCAACATTCCATCGTTAACGCGTCAACAGATTACTTTTAACATTGAATTCTCACTAATTAGAGTGTACGAGGAGACCTTGAACATGATCGAATAATTAAATGCTCTTGTTAAGCAAGGTGCTCATCAACTTGACACTACTTGCTGTGATCCTCGTTCTGTTCTACTGCTATCAGACGTCAAATGGTATACGCTGGACGCATAACGATAAGGAGAATGCTTCGACCACCAAGTCGAGAAGCTTCGGCCAGGACGTTACGACCGTGTCCCTGCCAAGTGGCAACGATTACTACAATGTCTGGTGTATATTCACCAAAGTTGCCAGCAACTCTCCGATGAAACGAAAGTTTGAGATCTTCGCTGAATCTTTGCTTAAGTTGTCTTCTGTTGACATCGCATTCCACGTTATAACCGACGATGACAGCAAAAACGTTGCAGAGAAATTATTGGGCAATATCTTATTATCCACAGGGAAATTCATGAAGGTGGAGCAAAATAATTCCTCAAGAGTAATCTCAAGATCTTATTAATTTATTGTTCATTTCTTTTCAGGTGCAATATTATGACGTGCATGAACTAGCACTGCAACTGGCAGACATTGTGTCAGTCATGTCTCCGCACTTTAGCAGCAAGCCAGGAACTTACTACTCGGATGCGTTGTTTTTCTTGTCATTGGGTCTGCATCGGATAGCCCCGGTCGAGCAAAGTGTTGCGGCAATGTTCGACGCAGACACCAAATTTCGCAGAGACATCAGGGAGCTTTTTGACGAGTTTAACAGCTTTGGAAGCCAAGCCTTGTTTGGCCTTTCTCCTGAACTCACTCCGGTTTATAGACACGTTTTGTATTTGTATCGCAACAAGCATCCCGACACGTTATTCGGAGAGCCCGCTAGTTCAGGCGGTTATTCTGGATACAACAGCGGGGTGGTACTTTTTAATCTCGATAAATTAAGGAACTCGTCTGTTTACGATTCGATCATGAAGAAAGAAAAAATTGACGCAATGACAGAGAAATATCACTTCAAGGTAATGAATACAATCTATCGAGCAACGATTCTGAAAATGCTATGTTTCTCATGTGTTTGCAGGGTCACTTGGGAGATCAGGATTTTTATACCCTCTTAGGGATGGAAAAACCAGAGTTAATTCACACTATTGACTGTGGATGGAACAGGCAGCTGTGTACGTGGTGGAGGGACCGTGGATATGCAGACGTATTTGGAAATTATTCTAAGTGCGATTCAGAAACAAAGTTGTGGCACGGGAATTGCAACACTCCCATACCTGATGATTAATCGTGTAAAATCAAGGGCACAGTTATTATAATTACTGTTAGTGCAATTGCAGAGATTTAAAAGTAGTACCTGTTGCTATTTGAACATGTTATCAATTCTGGAATCTGTGATTCTTCGGTGGCAATATATATCTCATCACGGTGGCAATATTAATAAGAAAAAGGAAAAAAAAAATTACATTAGTTGCATTAAGATTTTTCTGTAGGTATTAGCTTTGTACGTTATATATTTTAAATATTATCGTTATATCATTAAAAATAATTAAAAGTATTATTTTTTGACTTTATACCAATTGACATTTATAAACGCGAGGTTGGTGCTATTTTTCTAATTGTAAGTATAGACGTGAAAAATTGAACAATGATGAAGCAATCCAATTTCTACTATTGTATTTTCCTCAAGAATAAAGTATTTATATGAATTTTATACTTTCTATTTGTTCAGAAGTTCTTCTTGAAATATTTTGTTAAATAAAAATCAGCAATTCTTTTTTCTTTATTTTTAATGGAACTAAATAACAACATATATAAATAGAAGTGTCGCTGTAATATATTTTTACGCAAAGAAAATAATATTAAATACAGTATTAACACATTATATGGTATTTACAGTACAGAATACACTCATCCATGGTGTGACTACCCCATCTGCCATAAAAATATTTGTCTATAATGATCATAATCCATAAAACAAATATACATCATATCAGATTTGTTAATTAACCATAGTCTTTTAATTGACTTTTTTTTACAATAACACTGTTAATATTGTATTAACAAACTCAATGTGTTTTTTCCGCATGATTGCTAAAATTTCGCTACAAACCAAAAACTTTTCTTGTTTTTAACCAAAAGCAAAAAAAAAAGTGAAAATCAATTATTAAACAAATTCTTCGTTGTTTTCTACGAACACATGTTAGAATGTTCTTTGAATTTCGTTAATACAAACTCATTGATGAATACAAACTCATCATTAATATGATTTTCAATCTATACAACTGACCAGATTTTTCTTCCTTTCTCTCCCTCCCACTCTTTTTTTCTCTCAAAAAAAAAAAAAGAAAAAGAACCGAAAAAAAAAAATTATCTTTCATAGTTAAGTTAAACACACACCTTAACAACATCTAAATTCGTTGTACAGTACGTAAAATAAAAGATGTCACCTTTGGTCCCAGTGATAGAAACTTAATGTTAATCGTAAAGAATAGGAAATGTTAGTCAACACTGACTCAATCACTCAGACCTAATCTGTATATTCTCAACTCTTTTTTTCTTTCATTTTAGGCTAGATTAGGATCGAGTGACTGATTGAAGAATAAAAGAAGAAACAGAAAAGAAAAAAGGAAAACTTAACAAGAATTGCGTAGACTGCATCATACAATGAGCAACAACGTTTCAAAAACGAACCTAAGCCGGTCCATTGACTATTTGGACACAAAAATTACGACGTTCCTCTTACTTTGCTTTAAAAAACCTAAACGATATGTACATCATCATCGATTGAGTTTTTTCTTTTTTTTTTTTTCATTGACAACTTTCCTTTCCGGTTGTCTCGATTTTTTTTTTACACACAGTATTTACACATGAACGACTAACGTGGTCGTTATTTTTTCTTTTTCGTTTTTTATAGATTACTAACCAGCGAACTATCAAGGGAATGATTTCGACAAAAAAAAAAAGAAAAAAAAAAGAAAAAAAAAGAAAAAAATTGGTTTGACAACTGACGAGAAAGTCTACTATAAAAATACGGGACAAACATGGGATGGTCCTTCGATGGTGAATTAAAAAGTATACAGAAATAGATCTTTTTGTCCCGCCTATTATATCGACGATTGTCAAACGCTGCTTTTATCACTAAGACTGTACGATTTAAAGCACCAGAATATCTCTTCAGCAGTAATACATCTTCGGTCGTTAGTTTCTCTCTCGACTTTTTATCCTCGGATAGGAACGTTTCCTAGTTATTGAAAGGCAGTTAACATCTTCCTGCAGCCTGTAACCATAAATTCTCATGTTAGGTATTTTTACCAGCCAGCTTTTCCCTTCTAATTCTATATTCCGTGCGCATTTCATGAAAGTTACTTCGACTATTGGATGTTCCCTACTTCTCAAATGAGGAAAAATCCTCATTTACCACGCACTTTAGATTCAGAACCACATCACTTTTTTTCTCGGGGATCATTTCTCTGTGATTAATTTCCCCATTGCTCCTTAGATTTTTCTCAACTAATAGATGCTTACGCTCTTCAAATTCTCGCGACCACCGAAGTTCCTTATCGACTCCAACAAAATGTCTCGTTGGTCAATTTGTATGGGCATCGACTTGGGTCTGGCACTTTTCAATGTCACGCCTGTTATCACCGGCATTGTGGGAGGTCTTGGAATGCCATTTGATTCTTTGGACGATCTTTTAGTACCATCCTCCTTCACTACCTCCTTCGAACCACTTTCTTTCATCGCGTTAACGTGATTTTCGTGACGTTGACCTCCGTCGATCTTTGTGTTCGAAATCTTAAATCCTTTCACAACAGGCAGTGGCTGACTTCCTTTCGCGTTCGTGTCATTTTTGAACGACAAGTTGCCTTGACTCTGCCCTTGAATGCCCACTACCGAAGTGAACCTTTTCAGCACGTTGTTCTGATGGCCATTCGTTAAACACTGATCCAGATTATGCCCATTCTGTTTATTGGTATCACTTTCCAATTGAGAATTTGAGCGTGAAATTGTACTGGCCCTTTTTGGCTTCGCCCGGATGCAAACATCTTGACCGAACGCTTTTGTCAACTCTCTGAAATTCACTGGAGTGGTGTCTATCACGCTGTCGTCCTGCTTGTTCTCAAGGAAGCTCTTTTTCAACTCTACTGCTGTTACAACCGGTCTGTCGTTAGTGACTTTTGGTTCTGAACTGTTCACCTTGTTTAATGCTGGCTTCTTGAAGCCAGTAGCTGTTGTATGAGTGATCAATTTCTTAGTCAAATCGTTCGGCTCCTTTTTCTCTATAATCTCGAATTTACTTTTCTGTATTTTAGTGGAGCAGTCGGCGTCTTTAAAAGAATCGACTTCGTCTTTGGAGTCACTTATATTGACGATTGTTCTGTTGCTCGCTTGTTTCACTCCGAATTTGTAGTCCGTGTCCATTTTTATCTGGACATTGACACTCGGTCGTTCAGACCAACTACCTAAATTGATCATAGGAGGTCCTGAGTAAGTGTATCGTTTCGTGTTCGTTTCTGGGATCGGTCTTTTGGACTCTACATCCTTGTTGCTTGGTGCCGTCTGAGACTCACGAGACGGAACTGCATTCGATTCGATCGAATGCACAATAGGCATAGTTTCGAATCTACCAAATAAATGAACCATTAATTATCATTAAATGTAAAAAGCCTTCAAAAGAATATTATACTCACTTCGTCTTTTCAGATAATACTGCATCGTTCGAATCTTTGGGCACATTTTCCTCCGCCTGTTGAGCATTTTTCAACTGCGGTAAAATGCTTTTTAGCACCTAAAAATAAATTGCTTGTTAGGATTAAGAGGCAATTTTTTATAAGAAGAATTTATTGTACAATACTTGAATATTTAACGAAAGAAATTTCCTATCTTTTAAAAAACTTTCTCAATATAAAACAAAATTAAAATAATACAAAAAAATATGATATAAAAGAAAATTGTATAAAAAGGATTAATGGATTAATTGATTAATGGAAGCTCAAGTTTAGAGCCAATTACCTGTACAGATTGCAGTTGCTTTTCTTTGGTAGGCCGCTTCAGAATATTATCCCGCCATTTCTCGTTAGTTTTAGTCGGAGTGTTCAAATTACTAATACTCGTTGTCTTTTCCATTCCAACGTCATCCATCTCCAGGTTCTTCTCGTTCTTAACACTTTCATCCTCGTGCATGTTCCCTCGGAAGTTGGGTTTGTCACACACGGATACGTAGCTCTTGGATCTCTGAATATTGCTCTTCTCGTTACCAGACTGCCACCTTTGCAGGGATTCCGTCGGTATCTTTGGTTCCAGCTTCTTCTCATTCAGTTCATCTTCTTCTGGCGTTGTATTCTTCTTTCCCTGTGACGTTCCAACACTGAATTCCTTCAGATTCTTGTCCTCATTTGAATTGCTCCTGTTCCTAGACAGAGTCGCGAACGACTTAACAAATCTCTGATTCTCCCTCGACTGCTCTACTTCCTCAAATATATTGAGATTCTTCTGCTTGCTGTAAGTCGTGATCGTAAAGTTCGACAACGTGTTATCCACAGGCGCGATTTTCGGAGTTGAGGGATTCAACAGCCTCCTGGAGTCCACCACGTCCTTTTGGGGCAAAGCACCTATTTTATTCTCCAGCTCGCAAATAACCTCCTTTCTCATACCGGACTCTAACTTTGGCTGTTTGAAGGATTTTGTTGGTGTGGTGTCTTTTCCTTGTCTGTCTATCTTCTCTGTGATCGTTTTTCTGTCTTTCTCGCTCGGATTTGAGATCAACTCGTTAGTTTCTGCGCCTCTGAAGGATTCTGGCGAGGGCGAAATCACTTCGAAGTTGTCGAACACAGGCGAGCCAGGATCTCTGAAGGCACTCGGAGGAGCTGGAAGTTGGTACTCCCAGTCTGTGACAGACAAGTCTTCGTCGGCTGCTGATACGTAGTCTGACGTGTCTTGCTGAGAGTTTACAGTCAGATTCGGCGAGCTCGTGTTCACATCAAAGCCTTTAGGATACTCGATGTTCTTGTTGCTCTTCTCATGTGTCTTCTTGGAAACATCTAGCGGCTCTGATTTGGTCTCCGCTGGAAGCACTGGTGTCTCACTGGATGGTAGAGAATTAGACAGGGTGTCGGATACTTTCTGAAGCAGCACATCGGTCTCCGACAAATTTGCGTCTGTAATCGAACATTTTCATAAGTCAGTGGATGAGGTCGTTGACACAAGCTCAAGTTTCAAGGAACTAGTTTCTCTCTAAAATGATCAAAACTGTGCAAGTAAGTCAGAAACGTCATGAAAGTTAGAATCTTTTCTTTTTTACATTCCGCCACCATTTGCAAGACGTCAAACAATTTTTCAATCACAGAGACTAATTCGAAATTCAAGTAAACCGTGAATGTTTATGTGAATCCGTTAAATATTGAAGAAATATAAGAAATATAAAAATTTCTGATACTCTGCTCAATCTTCGAGTTCGCCTAAAAAACGCATAAAAATCCACGGTCTAGACGTTAGTATGTAAGAAACTACATTAGTAACGACAAGGCTGAGAGGATGCTTCAGATCACTTTCACAAATCTTTGGCATTGTTATTTGCATTTAAAGTGACTCGAGAGCATAGAGAATTGCTTGAGGGCTTGTACAACTAGAAACAGAGTTGCCATACACGTTAATGATATGCAACATGCACCTGACGAACCCACTGCAACGCAGGATGATTTTTCTTCACCCACACCTCGAGACTCAGTATCATCCTGCTCCTCCAGTTGTGGCTGTTGTGCAAGATCTGTGTCAAACTCCCTCAACTGATCGGGCAACAAATTTGGATTCACATTCAAATTCAGGGCAAACGTGATATCCTCCGCGTGAGAAGTCAAGTGTCTCTTCTGTCTCTCCAACGTATTCACTTCAAAGTCGTTGGATTTGGACGCTGTCCGAGGAATCCGGGCCTTCTTCGGTTCCCACTCTTTACCCTGGGCAAGTGTGTCCTTGACGTTCAATGAGGACAAGTGGTCACACTTTGGCATGGTAGAGATCACAGCGCAGAGTTTCTTCTCTTGACCAGAAACACTTCTCGTCGAATCCACTGAACCTCGTTTGGTTCTCACCAACGTGGAATTCTGGTCTGAGCAAGCTTCCACATTCACTTCACTCTCGTTTATGCTCAACTTCCTGTTATCATCAGCTTTATCGCTAGTCGAAGAAGCTTCTACACTTGCTTCACTAGATTTTCTTTCTTCAATATCTCCATCATCAATTGAAGCAGCTTCTACACTTTCTTGATCCTCACTGATACTCAATTTTCTTTCATTGTTGGCTCTATCATCGGTATCATTATCAATAGGTTCAGTTTCGTTTTTTCCCTCCAAGACTACTAGATTGTAATTGAAGCTTCTTCCACTCTGGTATTCAGGCGTCATGAACACCTCGTCTTCGCTGGTGGTGCAATTGGAACAAACCTCCAGCATCTCTTCACCACCGACGAAGCTTCCGCAGCTGGACCTGACGCTAATCTTGCGGTCGGTGAGGTTGGAACTCGCGTCGTTCGTGAAACTTCCGGTACTGGGACGCGCAGGGACGTTGGACAAGCAGTCTACATAGCTGGAGTCTGAACTGAGGGTGGTTCTACTCAATGGGGAAGACGGTGCTAACCTGCGTTTCGACACCTCGGGCCGCACTGCTTTTCTAGGCTTGGGAAGCGGAACAGGTTCTCCAACTGTACTCAGAGGAAAAAGAAAAAGAAAAGGCCGTCACCAACAGGTCTGATTAGCAAGCAGATGAACGTGGTCGCTTCTGAGACAGAAAATTCTCATGCAATCTTGAGTAGAAAACTACAGTTACAGTGATAGTGCGACTATCTAAAAAAAAAACAAGCGTGCAAGATGAGAGTACTATTTCTACTGTACAGTCACATTCTTTCTTTGGAAAGTGTGCATTTACAAAAATTGGAACTCTTAATTACTAGATCTTACGGTTACAATGAAAATGAAATGATATAAATGTACACTTGGAGACGATAGTAACGTAATCGCCAATTATATATGCTGCAGTTCAAACTGTATTAATTAGAGACTGTAAAGGATTAACGTTTTAGGAACACTACTGGGAAAATGAATTTTATTTTATTCTACTCTCTGTTCATTTCGTGCATACAAATTCAGCAATAACGTAGGGGATGGTACCGATCATGTTTAAACAAATTCTCCGGCCCTGCTTTCCAGTATCGAATTCAACTGAACTAAAAATCTGTTCCAGTTTTCAGTGGACTCCTCTCGACTGACCAAACCTGGTGGAGGTGGCTCTAGGATACTTAGCTTCTTCTCAGACTCTAATCTACATTCACTGTGTTGAATAATAGGTAAAGAAGGTAATTTATCAACATCACTAGGAACAGTGTCTATGGTTGTCACTGGAATGTCCAATGGTTTAGTGGAAATTGCAAATATCTGGAGATTACTCAACGGAGGTGGCGACAGGTTGGACCTACGATTGCCTATCATTGAATTCTCAAACTGGACAGTATCTCCATCAACACTGGAAGAAATCGAACCGTCGTAACACTTCGTTGTACTGACGTTTCCTAATCTAGGTTGCCTGCTCGATTCAGAAACTCTATTCCTAGCGCAGAAACTCCTGGAACCCAATAACTTTGGCTTCTCAAAGGTGTTCACTATTCTAGTCTCTCTTAATTTACAACCGACTTGAAAGCTGGAACTATGCTTCAACGTTCTACTAGCTTGACATTTGTCCTCAGAGGTATAATTATTCACGTGTACTTTTTTAGAATTCAACTCACTGTCCAAGACAGCGCACTCTGGTATGTTCTTGATATTGGTCTCTATGTTATCCAAATTAACTAAAGTCTGCATCTTAACCAATCTACTTTGACACTTAAACGAACTCTGATTACAAATATCCTGACTACCGGAAAGACTGCGTACTTTGGCCCATTGTCTAGCCCTTGGAGCGACTATGTTGGAACAAGCAAAGCTTTGAGACTTGTGCAACTTAGCCCGCGACCTGACAGAATTATCGACCAACTCTGAAGAACTGACTCTGTATCTGGTGGATCTGTACTTGAAGAAAGAATCGTCGAGATTCTCGGACAATTCGCTGTTCCTACGCTCGGCCTTGCACTCCTCAATCTTCGCCTGCAACTTCAGTTTCTCCGGATCGAAGAGGCTCGTACGCCTTTTCACAGAATATGTCCCATCCCCTACGTGCTCAAAGCTGTTCGTGGACACGAAACTGTAGGAAGGAAGTTCGTTATCTATGCTACCGCAGCTGTGCACTAGCTTACCTCTTTTCCGCGGCAGTCTAGTAGAATCTACGGGAGCATCTTCTACGGGTGTAGGGTGTCCTGACTCCGTACTGGATAACTTAACGTTTACAGATCCGGATCTATGGCGCGGTTCACGGTCACACTTGTCGCTGTTCGATTCTAATTCCGCTTTTGAGCCGTCTGGCTTGGCGAAGTCGATGCTGGAGGACAGTTTCGAGCCGATCGTTGTCACCCCGATGTCCGAGCTGGCTTTCGGACGCTCTTCTATGTCCGAGTTCGCTTTGGACGAGGCGCCGATATCGGAAGGAGGCTTGGAGGGGTCCATGTCCGAGGTGAGAGACTCCTCGGAATCAACTATGCGTTCCAGCGCTTGGGTGGAGATGGCGGACGACAGAGGCCTGGTTACTGGCGGAGGAGGTGCAACCCTTTTCTTTCGTAATCCTGGAAAAATTCAACAAAATTCTCATTCATGGTGAAACTAAAATATATATATGCACACATACATATATATATATGTATGTATCTATGTATGTATGTATATAGTAACCAAAAGGGAGAAAGATAGAGAGATTCAATAGACAAACATCAAAAAAAGAAAAGAAATTATCTACGTCTACGATTTAATTTCTTTATACCATCAACCAATTTCTTCTACCAAACACAATTCAGGATAAAATTTATTAAAAAAAAAAACCTAAAGAGCTAAAGGAAAAGATTTACACCTGTGGAACTCAACGAGGTACTGCTAATTCCGTGACTAAGCGTACCAGGTACAGAGGCAAGGTTGCTCAAGCTCTTGCTGGACTGCGACGTTTGAGCTAATTTCCTGGGCATTTCCAATGGGACCTTGTTTCTCCTGGGCAAAGTTTCCGGAAGTCTTCCAGCGGAATCTGGATTGTCACTCAACACAGAAGCTTCGTGATAACCTGAACTGTCGCTGCTGTTGCGACTGTGACTGATCACCACCTTGTCCTTGCTCGAGTCTCCAGAGTTTTCTTCAGTACCCTGAAACAGTCGACACCATATCTTCCAATGGATGCTTTTCAAAACACTTCTTGAGATGCCTCTTATCAAAATTGTCTTAATTGAGAATGTGATTTATATTAGCACTTAGAAATGTTAAGACACTATCTATTTTTGACAGAATATAACTTAATCACAAAAAGAGTATGCATAATGTAGTGAAATAATTCTACGAACTTGGCTAACTTCTGCTTCAGCCTGAGCAGGCGGCTTTGGCGCGGGTCTTCGCTTTCTTTGAGGTCTGGTAGGCGGCTGCAATGGACTGATGCTTCTTCCAGTTTCGTCGCTCCTCGCCGGTGATGCACTGCGTCCTCCGAGACTGTCAGTACTCAACGAACCCTCTTTGGATTTTTTGAACACAAATCCAAAGACACCTTGCTTCGCCTGTTGCCTACGTCGCTCTTCCTGCCTTTGCAAAGCCATTATATCTTGAGTACTGAGCGCTGAGCCTAACGTTCTGCCTTGCTTAGCATACAAGGTAACTTCCTGGAGATGATAGTCCTGTAGGGCCAGCGCCAAGTCCAGCGTCTCTAAGCTGGCTGTAAAAAGACGCCAGTTTTTGGACTTTATATTTAATTTTCCCAGGAAATTTTGTTCTATGTTGGTGTAAACGTTCTTTACAAGACATCTTCAATAATCTGTACCATTTCATTTTATTTTTTATTCTTTGTAGGAAATTATATTGATATAGATATTGCTGATGCAACAGACATCTCTCTAGTAACATATCATCCTTTAATGAAAAAAAAAAAAATTTCCTAATAGAATCTCAAAAATCTACGAATATCTAAGAATCTATCTAAGAATAAATATATAAAATATAAAAGATATTTTTAATAAGTCTACAGTTACTTTAACAAAAGAAATCCAATAAAAACAGGTTTCCTATCAATTCACGTTTCCCTCAAGAGAGAAGCAGCCGTGCAAAAAGTAAACTAAAACTTGGATTAAAAATAATAGAGACACTTCAGACACTTCAGAGTATTCTATAAACGATAACTGTCCAAAGGGTAACTCCTCCCATTTGACCAAGAAAATAAATTAATATTAAATGCAAAGATTTCCTACAGACTCCCTTAATCAAAAAGAAGAAGACTCTTTCACGGGAAATAAAATGACTTTGATCCTCTGGGCCAAAAGGACAGGTGAATATAATACCTGACAATATTCTCTCCGCCAACAATGATCCTCTGAAGTAGATCAAAACCCTTTCCGACTCGAGCCAGTTGCTCCAAATGGCGGATCGCAGTCGAGGTGCGGCTTAGCGGCGCAAAAAGAGATTCTTCCAGGTCCAAGGGATCGGTAACAAGTGTAAGGGAGCCAGTGTTTCCGCGGGGACGACGGTGCCCGAAGAGCAACGCGAGGCATGCACGCTTAACGACTAGGAGTAACAAGTGGAAGAGCCGACCGGCAACCTTGCGATAGCGATCTTAACACAACTGGCTCGGTGTAACTAGCTAACTGAAATATCTCGTGCACCAGGCGCATAAATACACGAGATATATAATCGGCGAGTTACCGCCGGTGTTCGTAGTATCGGGAATAGGCTATGGAGGATGGCCGAGCTATTTACCAGCGAATCTGGTTATGTTCGGCTCCCAAGCCGATAATATACAGGGTGGTTCGTTTGAAATTGCCGTTTCGATGACGAAGATCACCAAGGTCAAGTCAGGTTACCACCCTTCATTCACTATTTGGTTTTTTTTTTTTCAAATCTCCTACTTGCAATTGTTACAATTTTACTATGTTTAGATCAGATTTAAATTTCAATTGGGTTGCTTGACTAAATATAGTCTCCTTTTTTGGTATCAATCTCAATCAAGATTGCGACCTGGCGAGAAAGAAATGAACAAAAACAGCTTCAAATTGAAGCGAATGGGACACCAAAGTGGTTCGTTGGCAAGGATAATTGGGCTTGTGGATGCAACCTCGGCGAGCAGATTCTCTCACGTTGTCTCTGTCTGTTGTGTCAGGAAGTAGTGACACGCCCCCCTCCCCTCCCCCCCGGGGAGAGAAAGTCATTTGCAGCTGCCTGAAACGTTAACTTAAGCTGTACAAGACCACCATTGACGAATTGTGGGAAAGAGCAAATAGAGCACGCGTGATAATTGCCAGGAGACATCCTCCAGAGATTCGAATTACAAAGAAATTAAGAGCGTGTTCCTAAAAGTCTGTGTCTTGTCACACACTGTTGGGAAGACTTTCATCTGGTGAACAGGAATGCAGAACGCCAAGAAAATTGGATTGGAACGTTCTTACATGCGTATGCACATGTATATATTTATACATGGATGATCTGGATGGGCTTCAGAAGCCATATTTTCATTTCAGCAAATCCAGCCAATGCACGCACGCGGCTACTGACTTCACCTCCCGAAATTTAATAGCAATTTCTGAAAATTGATGTTGATGTTAGTGAAGCAAATAGTGCCGCAAAGTACAATAATTGAATATGAAAGAATACTCTACGAACGTTTGTGAAAGTTTTTAAATGGGGCATATTCTTTCAAGAAAAGAACTATTTATTGATCTACGGCAAATATTTTACAAGTAATACGTGAGTTATCAGTGTACAATAATTAAATTAGAAAGAAAAAAATCGAATAATTACCACATGTACGGTAAGTTAAAAAAATATTTCTACCAAATAAAATATTTCTTAATTTATTGAGAGATGAGGATGAGATCAACCAACACACAGTTCAGCAATACTCTTCTTGATTAAGGAAGAGGTGCATTAATAAAAATACAATCACCCGACCAGGGAAACCTGTTGGGATTATATCTTGAAAAAGACAGGTTGGCCAGCGCCACCGGTTTAAATATCAAACGCAAATGGACGAATCTAGTTCCGTTTCAGTTGACGTTTTATAGATCAACGAGTATCCACCAATCGTCTGGCAAAATCTTATCAAACTGTTCAGCTCTGCGTGGGTAAACTTCAAATAATAAATCTTCACTCGGAGATCTTATGTAAACGTTTTAATTGCTTAACACAGTTCACCATACTGGTTGGATACTTCTCTAAGCCTTTAACGAGCCTCGGGTCAACGTTCCCAGCTTCTCTCCAGAGTTTCAGACTAGCTGATCGATGGCAATAGTTACAGGTAATAAACTTCTCATTGACAACTTTCCAGTTTCGAATATTAGATACTTAGGTGGTTTGCAACTTGAAAAGTCGAATTTCTAATTCGTTTTATTATCTTCTCGCTTTGAAATAAAATATATAAAATACATAAGCTTGTTAATGAGGATTTCTTAATCAGATATTTCTAGAAGCTGTTGGTCCCACAGTAGGTGTACAAGACTCCTCAATAATGAACTTATAATTCATTCTAATCTTCTTTATCTTATCATTTATAATTTAATTTCCAATCTTCTTTATTTTGTCATTCTTCTCCTCCTTATCTATCTATGTTTGTTTGTAAGTGTGCTAATTACTCACTTGGGTGACGCAGCTCGTACTTGTTCTTGTCTAAACCTTTTTCGCGGCACACTTGTTCCAAGATCTCACCCAGGTTCATCTTGGGACTGACTCTGGACACCCACAGTTGGTTTCTTGGTAAATGTACCTGTGACAATTGCACAATCATGATTTCTCCAAACACTTACTGATTATTTGATAAACTATCAGATATAGAAAATGGAACAATAAAACTGAGATGTTGAAATTGTCTGATGACAATATTTACAGAACACTTTGGCTTTAAATTTTGCTAGATTCGAGAGTATGTACAGTTTGATTACGAAATACGTGTATCTTTTTTTTCATTTTTTTTTTTTTTTTTTACCTGCAACCTAAAAGTGGTTTCAAATGGTTGATTAACCTGCTTCGCTTTCCTTGGTATGAAAGTGCCCTGCTTGGGTAACAGTTTTACCTGAAATCAATTGATTAAAATAAAAATTATTACAACTGGGAAGGAAATTATTAATACTGGCAGAAAAATTCAAATTGAAGAGTCATTTAATGTCAAAAAACTATTGATTATAAAATTACAAAATCACAGTAAAACCATTTAGCACTAGAATTATTAATTAATTACATTATACACAGATAACATCAATTTTTTAAAATTTTCTACGCCTTATCTGAAAAAACATAGAAAATACTAAAAATTTTCTGAAACATGTACAGCGAAATACTTCTGATTACAAATTAACAAGATTAGCAGAGATTAGAGAGATTCCTCAGAAAGAAACAACTCTACCGTCTCTTAGAGCTGAAAAATTACACGATTCATTGAATTCCAAGTCGTTTCCCCAAAATTATGCTATCCTCTCTCTGATACAACTTCAAATTGTAGTCCTTTAAAAAAGAATCTCACAGAACTTCTGCTTATTACTTTTTCAATGAAAAAATTCACTATTCTATGATTCATGATTTAATTTTCTCAATAATGTTTTTAAAATCTGTAGTAACTCGAAACATTTTAGTACTTTAGTACTTTTTTACATTTTCTTATAATACTGAAGTACATTCTTACATTTTTTCTAGCATCTTAGTATCCTAGTACTTTAATAATTCATTACATGAATACTTCTATTTTAGTAACTTGAGATCTTAGTATCCTAGTACCCTAACAATTTGACATTTGATATCTGACAAGGCTGCAGAGTATTTCAGTAACTTGACACTTGACGAGGCTCTAACATTATTTTAATAGTATTTCAGTAACTTGATACCTTTAGTACTTTAGTATCATAGTATCTTTCTAGATTGGACGCTGATATCAATCTCTCTTCAAATTTATAGTTTGAACATATAGTTGCACAAATTTATAGTTAGAATATCAGTTGCACGCTGCAACTGGATGACACATACTCTTCGCATGTTCGAGCAAATTTGATTATATCAATAAACAATACCTGAAGCGCATCCAATGCGCCAATTGGTGTATTGGGTTGATGAGGTAGAACCATCCCACGTTCTCCAATCGCTTGCAAAGTGTAACTGGAAGCTGTCAATTTGTGGGCCGTGGCGATCTGCACGAGGAGGTCCATCATCGGCATACTATGAACAAAAAGAAATCCGAAAGACCGTTCAGCGTTTGCTTTCGAGCATTTCTATGTTGTTGGGGGGCAATAAGTCATGCCACGTTGTTCCATACCGTTCTGCGTAGCGTCCACACTTCATAAATTTTATTCTTTCCAAAAAAAACTTTGAATTTCAATTATCTCAATGGGAATTGATAAAAATTTACTCTGTACGATAATTTAATAATTAGAATTCTTCTGAGAAACATTTTATTCAATATTTAGTCCAATATTAAAATTACTCCCCATCAATTTTCTGAATTTGCAGATTTTTGAAGTTCTCTCAATGTGTATATAACTGTTATAAACTTTCTGAA